GTGCAGTGCACTATACTTTTCTGAGTGTCTCCTCAAACTGTATAGAGTTTTACAGACCTGGGTTCAAAGGAGAATCACCCAGGGCAGCTGTGTTGCTCTAAACCCTACATCAGTGATGGCGAACCTTTTGAGCTTGGCATGTCAGCATTTTGAAAAACCCTAACTTAACTCTGGTGCTGTGTCACATAAAGAAATTTTTTGATATTTGCAACCGTAGTAAAACAAAGATTTATATTTTTGATATTTATTTTATATATTTAAATGCCATTTAACAAAGAAAAATCAACCAAAAAAATGAGTTCGCGTGTCACCTCTGACACGTGTGTCATAGGTTCGCCATCACTGCCCTACATGCTAGTTGTTGAAAACAGTTTCATTAGCGTTTTCTTCTTCACTTGGGGCTCTGCATTGCAGGGGGTACACAAGGCTTTTTATTCAGGATAGTGCTCTGAGCATAGTTCTGAGATCCCAGTTTCTGTCTTTGTGGAGCTTTTTCTATCTAAAAGTCTCGCTCAGTGCTTCTTAAACTTAATATGCGTATGAATCAACTGGGGATCTTTTAAAATGTGGATTTGTGCTTCAGTAGGTGTTTTGTGGGCAGTTACCTTGATGCGATGGTTAGTCTCCAAGTATGCTACCACCTATCAGAGGTTATGGCATACAGGCTCAGCAGCCAAATTAATATGCTGGAGTCACACGATTTATCAACTCGGTTTAAAACCCACAACCGGAAGCAAGAGGAAAGCCAGAGAGTAAGTTCATATACCTACAGTGCTAACGAGTTTGGAAGGACCCACTGCCTGAGTCCTGGGTACACAGTATTCATATGTCCCGTTCCTTTTTCACCTCAACCTTCCCCATTGATGGTGTGGTTATGAGGACTAAAGCTGATGTGTGAGCAAGGACTCCACCGACTAATGATGCAGACTTGCTCCAACACAGAGTGAGGACAGGTGCGCTTAGATACAGCGGTAGCGTTGCCAGTTTGCCTGCTGATGAGCCATGGGTTTTATTTGCATTTCTTGGGTAGAGCACCCAGGATAGGACCATACTGAGTGTCCTAATGGGTGGCTGAAATGGAGAAGACATAGCTGTCAGTCCAGATATGGCATGATGATAATTTGATCTTTCCATCCCTTTCTATTTGCAAGTAAACCTGTTTTTTTTTCCCAGCATGTTTTCTATTTTAGCATGTCTTACAGGTTACTAACTTACTTATTTAACACATATTATGAATTGTGCTCTCTTCTTACAAGCTTTTAAAAAATATATATATATATATTTATTGATTTCAGAGAGGAAGGGGGAGAGAGAGATAGAAACATCAGTTATGAGAAAGAATCACCGATCGGCTACCTCCTGCATGTCCCCCAATGGGGACTGAACCCGCAACCTGGGCATATGCCCTTGACCGGAATCGAACCTAGAACCCTTCAGTC